CTGTGCCTTTTAATTTCTGTTTAACTATCCTCCTCATTTTTGTGTAATTCCCCTTTTTGAAATTAAATGCCAGGGTGCTGGACTGCTGAGGTGTTCTTCCCACCACAGGAATGTTGAATGTTATTATATTATGGTCACTATTCCCAAGCGGTCCTGTAACGGTTATTTCCTGGACCTGATCCTGCACTCCACTCAGGACTAAATCGAGAATTGCCTCTCCCCTTGTGGGTTCCTGCACTAGCTGCTCCAAGAAGCAGTCATTTAAGCCATTGAGAAATTTTATCTCCGCTTCTCTTCCTGAGGTGACATGTATCCAGTCAATATGGGGGTAATTAAAATCCCCCATTATTAAAATGAGAAATGTTATCTCCGCTTCTCTTCCTGAGGTGACACGTATCCAGTCAAGATGGGGGTAATTAAAATCCCCCATTATTATAGAATTCTCTATTTTGGTAGCCTCTCTAATCTCCCTCAGCATTTCAATGTCAGTATCGCTGTCCTGGTCAGGTGGTCGGTAATATATCCCTACTGCTAATTTCTTATTATTGGAGCATGGAATTACTATCCCTCTATGCAACATGTTGATTCATTTAATATTTTTATTTCATTTGATTCTACATTATCTTTCACATACAGTGCCACTCCGCCACCACCCGGCCTGCTCTATCCTTTCTATATATTTTATATCCCGGTATGATTGTATCCCACAGATTTTCCTCATTCCACCAGGTTTCAGTGATATCTATTATGTCAATCTCCTCATTTAATACGAGGTACTCCAGTTCACCCATCTTATTAGTCAGACTCCTAGCATTTGTGTAGAAGCACTTTAAAAATTTGCCACTGCTTATTTGTCTGCCCTTCCCTGGTGCATTGGATTCCTTAAAATGCGGTTGTTTGTCTGCTCCGGCCCATGGTTTGTCCTCTCCCCTCCTCTCTTTCTGACTACAGCTTAGAGAATCTTCTTCCAGCTGAGCCTCCAATATCCCCTACAACAGCCTCTCCCTCATCCATTATCTTCTATGCTGGTAAACAGGGTCACCTGGACCCCTCTCTTCTCCGCCTCTCCTCTCCTCCATCCATTGTTCTCCCATGGCTGAAACTAGCTGGGCAAGACACCAAGGTCTTCTCTCTGCTGCCCATTGTCCTCCCTCTGGCCAGAACCAGTAACCAGGCACTGGAGTCTCCAGTTTTGTGCTGTTCGCTGTAACAACAAACTCTATCTTGACTTAGCACATTAAATCAGTAACATCCAGGGACACTGAGTGCCCTCCATCTGCAAGTAACCCCCCCTTTGAACTCCTCAAAACTCCCACACTTCCTCACATGCACCATTACTGAGGTTATGTGCACTTGTTCAGATGTGTGGCACTGTAGCACCCACCAGTGGTGCTGCTCCCTGAGAGACTCTCCCAGTGCAGAGACCCCAACCCACCCCCCACTTGCTGAGACCTTGAGCCTTTCTCCCAGGCAACACCCTCCACCTGTGCAGGGCTGCGAGTCCCCGCTTGAGGCAAAGGGAAGCTACTGCCAGTACCCATTGCTTGCACGGAATGGGGTGCTGAAGGTGGAGCAGCGACATGTGGAGAGCTGGAGGTGGGGAGGACAGCAGAGGGCAGTGATGGGGGAAGAGGGGTGCAAGAGGCCCTGTCCCCAGGAGCAGCCACATCACAGCCCAACTCCAGCTCTGGCAGCCACCCACCACGCGGCCCGAAAGACACTGGGCAGCTGTCACGCAGACCTGGCCGCAGCTCCAACCCTAAAGCAGCCACACTGCAGACCTGGCTCCAGCCCCCGGAGCCGCCATGCTGTAGACCTGGGCTCCCACTACTCCAAGATTTGGATTCTTGGTGAGGGTCTGTGTAGATTTTGCTGGGGGTTAGTTCTAACATTGTTCTCTGTGAGGTGAGTCTCTGGAGTGGAGGTGGCTGGGGTGTAGCTGGCTTCATGGATGGGGTTAGTGTGAGGGAATGAGATTCAGTGCAGGATTATGGCAACCTGTGGAAGGAGCATAATGCAGGGGTTCCACAAGGGTGGGTCTCTGATGAGATGACAGCTTGTGAAGGTATGGGGCTTGGTGAGGTGAGGTTTTCGCTGCCAATATAGGAAGCTTAATTGAGAGAATGCTCAGCCCCCGATAGGTGAGTCTGCAGGCGTCTATGTTAAGGCTCATGTCCCTCCTTCCAGGGATCCTGGATATCTTTGGGTTTGAGAACTTTGTGGTGAATCGTTTTGAGCAGCTCTGCATCAACTTGGCCAACGAACAGCTGCAGCAGTTTTTCAATTATGTAAGTTTGAGGTGTGACATCATCTGGTCTGGCAAGGGGCTCCACATGGTGCTGGGAGAGCCATAGAAGGGAAGAGTGGTGCTCTCTCATTGTACAATAGAGCCTCCGTAGGGCTGGGGGAAATCAGAGTGGTGATCCTGCCATGGGAGCGGAGAGGAGATGAGGAGCAGGGTCTTCCTCATGCATGTAAGTTTCCGATGTTGCCCCTGGTGCAGGTGGATTGCTTACAGCTGTGATCTTGTCTTGAGAAGGCATATGATCGCTGAGGCAGTTTGAAGCTGTGACTCTGCCTTGCAAATAGGGTGTCATGGGAAAGGATGCATGACTTGCTTGGCGAAAGGCTGTTGGTTCTGGTGGGAGCTCCAATTTCACTCTCTTCTGTGTCTCAGCACATTTTCCAACTGGAGCAGGCTGTTTACCAGGAGGAAGGACTACCCTGGGAGACAATTACATTCAACAATAATAAACCCATTCTGGTGAGTAGCCTAGAACTTGGCATGGGGGAGAGCCCTCCAACCCCAGGCCCAGGGGAAGGAGAGAGGAGGTACTGTATCCAAGGTTGGGATGGTTAAAATCTAGGGAAAAGTTCCCTTGAAGGTAGGAACAAGGTGTGTAGTGAGCAAATGGAGAGGAGATGTCCTCTCACGAGAGGATGAACTCCTCCACTCCTGTTAAGGGACTCCTCTCTTTTCCTTCTCCTGCTGCAGGACCTGTTCCTGGCTAAGCCACTGGGGCTGCTGTCTCTCCTTGATGAGCAGAGTGCTTTCCCTCAGGTACAGTAATTGTGACTGGAGTGGTACAGGGACAAGTCAAAGAAGATGATGTACTGTTGCAACAGATGTCTGACGAGAAATATTGGTCTTCTGCTGGGGTGCAAAAGGTTAACTTGTTGGATCAGGTCTGTGAAGCTCCAGGCCAGGACTAATCCTGAGCAGTGTTGTGTTGTCATGGCTCAGGAGTGTTCAGTGAGCTCAAATGCAGTAATATTTTGTAATCTAGACAAGAGCCTTGGAGCACTTAGGGCTGGTGGGTACAACCACAGGCAGTGTGGTTTAGCAAGGGGAAGTAGCACAGAACTGAGGAGAGTTTCCAGTGCTGTGAGTGTAGGTCAGTGTGGGGTGGATAGTTGTGCCTGAGTCTGCCTCGATTCTGAACTGCTGAAATCCTCCTTGTTCTATAAACCAAATCTCGCACCACAGCCTACCTCCCAAGCCCCAGAAATGCTACTTTTCAGGCATTGTTCACATTGTAACTGTTCTGTGTTCAAGCATTAAAGGATCTAAGTGATGGCAAAGTGGAATGAAGCAAAGGCACGTTAATCTGCAAATATGTGAGGGATGTATAACTAGGAGGAAAGGGCAGAACTCTGAGTGAATTTCATCTCCCAGAAGGAACTGGCAGTAGGCGTTCCCTATCACTTGGCACTAAAGGCTAGAAAACCACCTATAGGGAATAATGCTGTCCTGAAAGATGAAGTAGGTGGGATTCAATAGGCATTTTCTTTCTAACATCTGTGATACCTAGTCAAGCTGGAGAAATTCATAAGAACAGCCATACTGGGTCAGATCAAAGGTCCAGGAATCGTAGAATACTAGGACTGGAAGGGATCTTGAGAGATCATCGAGTCCAGTCCTCTGTCCCCGTGGCAGGACCAAATACTGTCTTGTCCCGGGGTCTCTCTTTCTGCCCCACATCCCCCACAAACTGGATACAATTTTGTGGTGACCTTGAGGCTTTTTTTCGCCGCCTCCGTCTCCGAGAATATTTCCAAACCACCACTGAACATCAATCTGACCTACCAGATCCCCCCTACCAACACCAAAGGAAAAATAATTCTATATGGACTCCCCCTGACGGTCGGAATTACAATCTGGATTTCTATATACACAGCTTCCGCAACAACGCACAGACTGACATTATTCACAAACGACAACAAGCGACACACAATCTTAGCCGCGCTGAACACCATGCCATCCAGAGTCTCAAAAACAACCTGGACATTGTAATCAAACCAGCTGACAAAGGGGGTGCTGTGGTCATTATGAATAAGGCCGACTATAACCAGGAGGCAACCAGACAACTCTCGAACACCACATTTTACAAACCTCTCCCCTCTGATCCCACCTTGGACTACCAAAAGAAACTACACTGTCTCCTTAAAAGCCTCCCCACAGCTACTCGGGAACAAATCCTCACAGAATCACCTTCTGACCCCCGACCAGGATTGTTCTATCTACTTCCCAAGATCCATAAACCTGGGCACCCCGGACGTCCCATCATCTCTGGTATTGGCACGCTCACTACGGGTCTATCCAGCTATGTAGACACTCTTCTCAAACCCTTCGTAACCAATACCCCCAGCTATCTCCGAGACACTACTGACTTCCTAAGGAAACTACAAAACATCGATAACCTCCCCAATAATACCATCCTTGCCACCATGGATGTAGAAGCTCTATATACCAACATCCCACATGAAGACGGATTACAAGCAATTAGAAACACTATCCCAGAGGACACTACTGCCAACCTGATAGCAGACCTATGTAACTTTGTTCTCACCCACAATTATTTCCGGTTTGAGAACAACTTATACCTCCAGATCAGCGGCACAGCCATGGGTACACGCATGGCCCCACAGTATGCTAACATCTTTATGGCTGACCTAGAACAACGTTTCCTCAACTCCCGTCCCCTTTCACCCCTCCTCTACCTACGGTACATCGATGACATCTTTATGATCTGGACACATGGCCAAGAAACACTGGAGATATTCCACAGAGATTTCAACAACCTACACCCCACCATCAACCTCAGCCTGGACCATTCTACACGAGAGATCCACTTCCTGGACACCACCGTACAAATCAACAATGGAAAATTAGACACCACTCTCTACAGAAAACCCACTGACTCATACAGTTACCTACATGCATCCAGCTCCCATCCAGAACACACCACACGATCCATCGTCTATAGCCAAGCCCTTCGATACAACCGCATCTGCTCTAACCCCACTGACAGAGACCAGAAGCTTCAGGATCTCTACCAAGCATTTATAAATCTCAACTACCCACCCAGAGAAACAAAAAAGCAAATTGAAAGAGCCAGACGAATACCTAGAAACCATCTACTTCAAGACAGACCCAAGAAAACCAACAATAGAACACCACTTGTCATCACCTACAACCCCCAACTTAAACCTGTCCAACACATTATCAATAAACTACAGCCTATATTGGAACAGGATACCATACTCAAAGAGGCTCTGGGAGACAGACCCATAGTCTCCTATAGACAACCACCTAACCTCAAGATGATTCTTACCAACCACCACAGGACATACCACACTAATACCAACCCTGGTACCTTCCCTTGCAACAAACCCCGTTGCCAGCTTTGTCCACATATTCATTCTGCTGATACCATTATTGGACCTAACCAAGTGAGTTATAAGATCAAGAACACATATTCCTGCGCATCCAGAAATATAATCTACGCTATCATGTGCCGAAAGTGTCCGTCTGCTATGTACATTGGACAAACATCTCAGACACTTCGCCAAAGGATTAATGCCCACAAAACAGATATCAGACAAGATCACAAAGAGAAAACAGTTTCTTGCCACTTTAACCAGAAAGGACACTCTCTAAATGACTTAGCCACCTGCATTCTGCTACAAAGACCTTTTACATCTGCACTTGAAAGGGAATCCTCTGAACTGTCATTCATGTTAAAATTCGACACTTACCAACAAGGACTTAACAAGTCTTTGAACTTTCTCACCCATTACCAAGACAGTTTCCCCAATTATCACCTGTAATACCATTAACTCACAAACATCCCACTCTCCCTACCTTTAATATCAGCAATTCACAGACACTTACCTTCCTTCCTCCCCCTTCCCACCCCCCCGCATCCCCCTTCTGTTCTGCAATGTGATTTGTCCTTTTCATATTTGTTCATTTTTTTAAATTGTATCCTTTGGTATATATGGTTGTGACTACTTTCTTCCACTATTTGATCTGAGGAAGTGGGTCTGGCCCACGAAAGCTCATCATCTAATAAACCATCTTGTTAGTCTTTAAAGTGCTACATTGTCCTGCATTTTGCTTCAACTACCCCAGACTAACACGGCTACATTTCTATCACTATTCTACATGCAAGGCACTACATTTAGCCGTTTGGAATGGAAATCCATCAACCATATGAAGAAACTCGCACAGATACAGACAGACATCATCTTTCTATCCAAGTGCAAGAAAATGGACATCGTACCCAAAGGACTGAAAGTGAACAATCCACTAAGATCAACATACTTCACTGACTACAGTGAAAGACTCTGCCTCACACTATCCAAGAAATTAAGAAACCACCTGATAAGTATTTTATACAAGAAACAGAAAACCATCAAGAATGACATTTCTAACTTAGATCGTCTCATCTCAAGACAAACATCCACACCGACTGACACCTTGCAAGACTTTTGTTCCACCAGACAAGAAATCTACTATACACACTTCTATTCCCTACAACAAAGAAAAGACAATAAATTTCCTAACCTGCTCCATAATTTTTCCACATCTTTCTTGAAATGCGGTGCCCAGAACTGGACACAGTACTCCAACTGAGGCCTAACTAGTACAGAGTAGAACGGAAGAATGACTTCTTGTGTCTTGCTCACAACACACCATCTAGCCCAATGTCCTGTCTTCAGATAGTGGCCAATGCCAAATGCCCCAGAGGGAGTGAGTGGAACAGGTAATCATCAAGTAATCTCTCTCCTGTCACCCATTTCCAGCCTCTGACAAACAAAGGATAGTGACACCATTCCTACTCATCCTGGCTAATAAATATTGATGGACCTAGCCTCCAGGAATTTATCTAATTCTTTTTTAACCTTGTTAAAATTGTGGTCTTTACAACAGTCTCTGGCAAGGAGTTCTACAGGTTGACTGTGCGCTGTGCGAAGAAATACTTCCTTTTGTTTGTTTTAAACCTTCTACCTATTAATTTCATTTGGTGACCCCTAGTTCTTATACCTCCTCCAGCTAGTAGCCAAAGAGCCAGTATATCCTCAGAATATAGGGTGTCCCCACGCTGCACATGGCGTTTCAAAGTGGCAACACTGCGTGGAGCTGGGATCTGTTAGAGACAGGGCTCAGTGCAGCGCTGCTGCTTTGAAACGCTGCGGGAAGCTCAGCGTCAGGTTCCTTGTGTTGTGCTTACCTCAGACTACTGAACACTTTGATGTCTGAGGTTTATAATCAATTTATCTCTGATAATCCAATCTTTGGATCAAGACTATTAAGTTTACAGCTCTAGCCTCAAGTACACTTATTTTCATTTTCACATTTACTTGATATACAGAAGGTTCCTGAGGCTCATCATCAGAGTGTTCCCATTCAGCCTTTTGTCTGCACCAAGAGCATGTACAAGGATGATGGCTGTATTGGCAGCCCATCTACAAAATCAAGGTGTTTCAATGTTTCTCTGTGGTGATGACTGGATAATCAAAAGTTTAATATACCAGTCAGTGCCGAGAGTCCATATGCACCCTAAGGCTCCTATTCCAACATCCCAGGCTAAACACAGAAAAGATTACTTGAATGCTATGACTATGGAAATTATTGTGAAAAATTGGAGCCCATGGCAGAGTGAATATACTCCCTTCTAGAGAGATTCCAAACTATAGAATCATAGAATCATAGAATCATAGGACTGGAAGGGACCTCGAGAGGTCATCGAGTCCAGCCCCCCGCCCTCAAGGCAG